AATGCAAGGATATTTACCCGCAAACGTTTGTCGGTCAAAAAAAGAGCCTGCTAAACAAAATAGTGGGCTCGAACGGAAACAAGCATGCCTAAGGCCAAAAAAAAAATTAAGTCGGTCTCTGGTCAGCGCGCGCGTCGATTTTAATCATGCGCGTCAATCTTTTTTTTCCCAAAATGTTCCGCGGTAGCTCCAACAGCGCCTTCTATTGCCGCCCCTCCTCAATTTTTTTTTACCAAAGAGCACTAAGGAATGGGAAATTGCACCAAGGCAAATGATCGAGAGCACCAAGGCAAATTATGGAGGACACCAATGTACATGAGGACACCAAAAAAAGCAAAATAGTACCCCACCTTGTCTGTACAATCCAAGCTTGAAGAAAAAAAAAAAGCAAAAAAAAAAAAAAAAAAGCCGCGTCCCCGCGTCAATTCCGGAACTTTGGTCTGACCAGAGACCTAATATTTTTTTTTTGGGCCAAACAGTCAACTCATTTTTTTTTCAATAGAGGGCGCGCCACATAAATAGTGGTCCCAATTACTGACAAAGCATCAACACGGATGCCTCACTATTGAACAAACAAAAAAACCTGTTCAGTGGCGTAAATCTGTACCGGCGAGTGGTGGGGAGGGGATGGGGATGACCAAAATCCAAAAATTGCCCGGCTATGGAATTTCGAAAAGCTGGGAGTGGGGGGGGGGGGGGGAGTCTGGACACTGCTTTACACTAAGGGACGCTCTTCAGGATATAGATGTACAGTGTTTATCCAAAAAAAACCGGAATGCCAGACGTAGAACGTGTAACCAACACAGATAATATAGGTATGGTTTGAAAGAAACGCCTTTCAAGTTTAAAATGAGACATTGGACCTCAAAATCTGATAATTTTGACCAAGTATTCAATTTTAGGCAATGGGACAAAGGTAGCCTAACTGCCTCTGAGTAGATATTTGCCTGGCCTACACACAAATTGTGTTTAGCGAGTAAACACAATTCTAAACACTTTCTTGCTATCAGTTTGTAAACATGTTTACATGCTAAACATTTAGCATGAGATGATAGCAAGGAAGTGTTTAAAATTGTGTTTACTCGCTAAACATATTTTTGTTGTCTAGGCAAATATCCACACAGAGGCAATAAGGCTGCATTTGTCCAATGCCTAAAATTGAAAACTTTGTCCCCATGTCAATTTGACCGGTCTTGGAAAATTACTCATAACTATGTAAAAAAGTTATCAGATTTGGACGTTTGATGTCTAATTTAAAGTGGAAAGGCGTATCTTCAAAACCATACATTTTGGTGTTGTTTAGACATTCTACGTCTGGCATTCAGGCCCGGATTAAGTGTTTCGTAGGCCCTAGGCACCAGTGTTCCGAAGAATGGAGAAGGAAGGGGAAAGGAAGAGGGAATAAAATCAAAGTGGAGAATGTAAATAATAAACACCGCTGCTCAAAACTCTGCGAAGCTAAAATCAGGTTCTGCAACCCATGGCAAAAGATTGTACATTCTGTCATGTCGGCACAATCTGCCGCGCGAAGTCGCTTCATATACGGGGGTTGACAGCTACAGCTGTGCAAAACACAAGCACAAGCTCGCTCGTACAGTTACGAATTGAGCTGATTCTTATTGGTGATGACTCAAAATGACGAGAGCATATTTTGATAGAGAGTCAAGCTACAATTTTGATATTTGCGCCACAGAGCATCTGCAATCCAAAACGCCTTGGAGGGTTTTGCGCTCGCATATAAAACATTTCACTATATAGGATTTAAAGACCCCCCCCCCCCATGCAGTCTGGGATCAGGGTACAGGCCTGAAAAAGGTATGCGTAAAGTTACTGAGCATGTTCATGCAGTTTTGCGATAATGAAATAAAAACATTATAGGTGGATTGAATTTTGTATTTTTTCGAGCAATTTTAAAAATTAATTTCGAACGTTTACACTACCAGCTCTCAGTATAACAAATTAATCATTCTTGCCATTGTCCTCCGATAGAAAAGAAAGAAAATAAAACAAAAAGTTATGTGGCGATGGCCAAGTCTTCAGGAGTCGGACTTATGACCCTAACTCAATGAGCCCCTTACCGACTTCCATATAGAACTCTTCTGGGACTCGGTACCCGGCCCACCACACCTCCTTCCCTGTCCATCCATGTAACTCGAAAGTCAGGCACCATAAAGGGAGGGAACGAGGTGGCACCCTAAGCCTTGCTGCCGAGTCAGCAAAAGAACCCCGTACCTATACGCAGATGCCAACCTGGACTTCGCAGACAGTCCCAACTTGTGAGTCAGCTTACCGACCGACCGAACTAACTGCTGTTGGTATATGACGACGGGAAATTAATACTTTTAAATGACAGAACCGCGGGCATCGAAAACCAAAAAATGACACCAAGCGGTTTCGAACCCCTAACCCTGGGTCCGCTGTCAGACAGCCTAACAACTAGGCTGTTTCAGTTGGTGCTTTTCTCTTTGCGTTTAAAACATAATCCTTATTTCCGCAGTGGGAGAGTTACTTTGTGTTTCATAGCTGCACGAAAGATGTATCAGCATCCCGTGCTATACACATAATGCTGTTACGTAACTCTTTTCTACAATCATTCTTATGTACCGAGCAGTTGACTATTCAGAGTCACTACGAGCAATTATCTTACCGAGCTCGTCCTTATTCTGTCTCATTGTTTCGCGTCGCGTGTCTTTCGGCCGGCACTGACATATCGGGCTGATTGAGTGAAATTCTAGCAAGTTTCCCCTACCTTTTTTTATTTATATCAAACTACTGACCCGTTTAGAAACATTTACGAGGGAACTTTGTTTGTCTGATTCTAATTCAGCTCCCTTAGCTAGCTTGGGAAAATTCATCTTTTCTTGTACTTACGCTAAGTCTAGCGAATGATGCCATTATAATACAATGTCACATTAACGTCAGCCGGTGGCATGATCAGAATCGTGACCACGCGAGTGCAATGACAGCCAGTGGGGGGCAGTGGAGTAAATCTGTGGCGGCGAGTGGGGGTGGGGGTGGGGTGGGGGATGGCGGATGACCAAAGTCCGGCCGTTGACATTCGAAAAGCTTCTCAAAGTGGGGTGGTACATACATGCGTATCATGATCAGTACTAATTATATGAGTGCGAAGCCCAAACGGCGTGGGGTTCGGGCCCGCTTAAGGGCCCCTGAAAAAATTGGATTATAGGCGCCCTGTGGTGCGATCTGAGGCAATTTCTGACAACTGCCAAAGTTTTAGCACAAGATCATCATTTAAACGTCTTTTTCGAGTTTGGAGTATTTAAATTTATTTATTTATATATTTATTTATTTATTTCTGATCTTTTACCAGGGTAGCCCGTTCACAAAATAATGTGGTCTTCCACGGGGCCCTGAGCATATAATTTAAAAATTAATAAAAACAAAAACTAACAATTTAAAGGATTAAAAGTGTATAAAATTATCAAAACAGATAGGAAATAAGATCATATAAAACTATAACCGTTAAATTATAATCATTAAATAAAAGAGACATGAACGGGTTTAACATAAACAATATAAATGTGTATATGAAAACGACGATAGACAAAAGTGCAGATTAAGAAGTTTAATTTAAGAATAAAATCACAAAATAAGTCCTACATGCAAATATAAACGAAAACGAAGTTAAAAAAAACTATTGTGAATAATATAAACAGTAAAAATAAGTACATGCATCCCTAACATGCTAAAAACAAAAACAAAACAAGCAAGCAAGCAAGCCAACAAACAGACAAACAAGCACCCAACAATCCTAACAACCCAACAAACAAACAAACACCCGCCCCCCAGAAAAAAAAAGAAGACAATAAAATTGAGTACACATTAACATGATAAGAAAACGTACAATTAAAACAATAATTTGAAACAACTTAAACGGTTATAAAGTTTAAAAGTTACTACCACCTCACAAACAAAACTGAACCAAGTAATAAATTCAGTTCAAGTTATTATATTTGAAAGTATGTTGTCAAGTTGTGACCTTAAATCGCTTGCAATTTGATATATGATGACGTCATGATAACGCCACACGTTTTGTTACATCTTGGAACAATAGTGCATGTTTGTACAAAGTTTAATCGTCATCCCTTGAATAGTTAAGGAGAAATTCCGTTTGTGGTAATATTCACGCTGCTTTCGATATTATTGAATACATCCAACTTGAACCTTCCATTAACCTCGGAAGTAAAGGCCATGCGCCAAGCGACAGGATTTTTTTATCAGAGCATGGCCTACCAGATCATTAAGTGTGAACAGGATTCCTCCTTTTGTCCATGGGTTTAGGTTGAAACAAAACACAGAATACGAATACGAACACGAAAGAAGAACGAAGACAAAACCAAAGGAAGATGGGGTTTCAGTCCCATCACGCAACAGGATTACGTCTAAACCTTATTAGACCAAACACTTCTTATTCTACGTTAATTATGAATTAAGAAGGAAAATTATTTTTAAAAAAGATGTATTTCCGACACCTGATCTGCTTGCCTTTCACCAACCGCTTCGCCTTTCGTCACCTAGCGCACAATGCCTACTTACGCACGAAGGTACCGGAGCAATCTGTCGCCTAGCAACCGTCATCTTTCAGACCGATAGCACATGCGCGTAGCTTTGGAACACAATTATGCTCGCTGGAATAAACATGAGATGAGCAGAGGGTGATAGCGGTCTGCAATGGCAACGGCGGTTGTACTATGTATGACGCATCTTATAATATATGGAGAGCATGGTCAGGCTGGTCTGCATTGCATCCCTTGGGCCGAGTCGGGTTGAGATGCAAATGCAGTCCGTGTGGTGACTGTGACACTTTGTCTAGAACGAGCCACGACTGAGGTGTTGCGTTGCTCAGACCCTCACACCAGCCATCCCTTGAATCTCAACAACTTGTAAGGATTCACCAGCTTACCTGACGCTTGGCCTGCTTGCAGCTTTCACCGGCGCACCGCCGCACGCCCACGTCTGCTGATCCCCGGTCGTAAGTCTTGCCTCATCCGTGGCCCACGATGCGTCGACTTCCCTGGACCCTCGGCAGTCTCGTCTTGATTTTGCTGCTGGCCGTGCACTGGACCCGAGCCCGTAAGTACAGGCTTTAAAAAAAAATGATTTTGATCTGATTAAATGTAGTTTGATAACTAAATGGACGGCAATAAACCTAGTAGCCAGCATTAGACCCAGTAACTGGGGCGCTAGAATTAACTCTTTTTCCCTTACCCTTTTTTTCCCGACCAAAGTCAAAATTCGAAAAAAAGGCTGAGTTGTAGCGCCCTAGTTACTGGGTCTAATAATACATCGGTTTTGTAAATCGGATGGATCAGTGCCGTCTTTCTCGACTAGCGAGGGCTTAAATAAACATTTGCTTCCCCCCCCCCCTCCTCCCACCAAGAGACTTTACATGTAGTAGGAGTATTCCTCAGTTTCCCTAATGGAACGTGAAAGAACCAGTCGGCGCAAGCATTAGGCTTCAGGTAGCTAGAGGCTCAACGTTAGTCACACTCTGGGGAAAAAAACCTCGTAATTGTAACAGTGCACAATCGTGTTTTTTTTGTTAGAGTGTTTTCACGGGTATGTTGCAAAGCATTTGAAATATAAGAATATTTGAGGTATACTGAAGCCTCGTGCCACAGCCTTTACATTTCGGAAAACAGAATTCATCATAATTACATGCCTCTATTGTCCAGGGTGACATCAATATGCATATCTTCTGAACAAGATTTCAAACGGTGAACGTAAATTCAAACCTTTCTCAAGATGCACAATATACTAAATTGGAAATTACAGTAATCTTATACATATCACATTTGCACATGTTTCTTTTTATTATATATAACATGGATCATTGTTAACTTATCGATGCTTAACGCTGATGCTATAAAATGATATTACTTACATCTTCATGTTATCAAACAATCACAAACTTGCCAATTTTGCACACAGAGAACACCGATGGAAATTTATTCGAGGAACAATGAAGACCCGCTCCTGAACAAACACATTTATTGCTACCCGCCCTCCCCCCCCCCTTTCCGCACTGCCAGAAGAATAAGCGCCTTGAGTACCTAATTGTTGGTAGATAAGTGCACTATATAAGACTCCAGTATAATTATTATTATCTTGAATTAATTATTCTGTCTTTTTATTATGTTGTTTTGCGAATCAATCAAATAATATGATATATTTGCATTAATTTACATTATATTCGTGATTAAGAAGTGAACACGACCTGTTTAGTCGAGGTATGAGTATTTGATACAATCTGCTGTAGTCAAATTAAAGTCCGTATAAGATATTAGAGCTTTTAGATGAATATTTCATCGGCTGGCTTGTCAATACAATTCTGTGTTTTATGCGTCGGTTATAAATTCGTAGTACTTGAAATTTAAAAACTATTAGGTTTGGGTCAATGTAAAGGTAAGGCATGACACACATATTAAGTCACTGTTCAATTCGCTCTTTTAAAAACAGTCAGTATGATTTATTTAAACAAAAAAACCCAATATTTTGGACTTCATCAACCCTCTGACATAAGTGCTTTTTATTTTGGGCTACTCAAAAGTAAACGAAGGCGGATTTTGTATGGTTCAATGTCTAATTTAAAAGTGAATAATTGTTGTATTGCCTGAAAATTTGCAATAAATAAACAAAATTCATGCCACACACTTTCTGATAGCGTTGCGGCTGATGCGTCCTTCTGGATTATTCGAAATCACATAAGAGACCAAACATTCTACTTCACTAATTAATGCTGTATGCTGTACGCTTTTCGAATAATCTCTCGGTCTATTTTATTACATCCATCCATTTATAACTAACGCGGTACCGTTCCCTTGCTCTATGGTTTAACGTATGTTTATAACGTTATAGGTAACCCGATTCCCATTTAAGCTGTCTTGCCAATTTTATGAGTCACCTTCGGGCCTCATTAGCGACAGTCGCAATGCGGACGCGAAGGCGACAAAGGGCCTCCAAGGATCGAAATAATTTGAAGGATGACATTGATTATCTGCGTATTGAAGGGCAATCTTGTGTAAGTTGCTCTCAAGGGGAAAATAATATATAAACAGGAAAAAAATGGACGATACACTATGTTGGTCAAGTTGGATTTTTATCTATGATGCTTACAGCCTTCCCCATTCAAATATTTTCCCTGCATGGGCATATCATGAAAATCATGTCATCAATGACACTGAAAATGATGGGTTTTTTTTTACAAGATACTGCCCCTGTATTCCATACCACAGCAATAATACTCTAGGCTGTACTTTTTTGTCGAAAATTTACAAAGCGGATGATAAATCGATTGGCCATCACAGGTACCTCGAATGCTACACTGTGACGAGCTTTGAAAAAAGAGCTTTGAAAATTGGAAAAGCGGGGGCATGATTGCGGACTCTATTTTGGCACTGGGTGGTGTCCCCCCCCCCCCCCCCAAAAAAAAGGAGGATTGTAAATCGAACTATCTCGTTCTCAATATTTTTGACAACGCTGGAGAGCGGTTTTTCTTTTAAAGAGTCTATACAGATATGATTGGTATGAAGAAAATGCATAAAATCGTGTACATGTAGGCCTAATGTTCATTGTGGGTTACACCAATGGCGTAACTATGGTTAAACTTCTAGGGGGAACCTGGGGGTGCACCAGTTTTCCGGGGGGGGGGAGGGGGTGGCACTGAAGGAAACGAATACATTATTTTAGTGCAATTCAAGATTTTAAATGGGAGGGGGTGGCAACCTAGGGCCACGGACCTCAGCTGGCAGTGCCCCCCCCCCCCCCCCATCCCCGTAGTTACGCCACTGGATTACACTAAGTTATAGGCCATTAATATAGTTGTTCGGAGTGGTATCTTCTGAATTTCATTATTTGAAAAGAATTGGCAAAAAGCAATTATGTGAGTGTAGTTAAATGTTGTTGCGCCCTAGAGGTGTAAATTGAAATCGGATTTTGTCCTTCACTGACGCAAGCTGAATGCGAATCTGAATTGGATCCCTAACCCCATGACTGAATCAGCTATAGCTTGCGAATGGTTTTCACTTTGAGTACAGAGGATCAACCCAGCCAAGCAGTTCGTCCGTAAATTATTTACGACCCCATGACATTCAATCTGAAATTATCACCCGAATAATGTTCCGCGCGAAAAAAAGGGACAAGACACTCAATCAGTATTATCCCCTTGCATAATCGTTCCAGGCTGCAAAGCCAGTCCTCCTCAGATATCCTGAGGGAGATGGTCTGATGCGATGCCCAAGACGGAACTCAAAGTCCCTGGCTGTGATGGCCCCATGAATCAAGATAAAAGTGTGACAATTCCCATTTCGTCTTTCAGTTCACCAGTTATATAGCGTCGTTTGGATCGTGTTGTCTATACTAGCGAACTGATGAGAACGAGACTCCCGTTTTTTTGACTTGTGAGCCCATGGAGGAATAAGAACACACGGTGGGACTTGTTCAGTTATTCCCCTAAATGTTCTCTACCATTTCAAAAGTGCTATTTTGAAGTAGCTTATATTGTTCTTTTGAACATGCCGTGCGTCACGAAATAAGTGATAGAATGCTGCTTTAAAGTGAAGACATACAACCCTTGTCATGCCAGTAGCGAATCTGGGGCGCTTGGAGGGGGGTGCTACTGCTGCCAACCCCCCCCCCCCCCCCACCCCACCCCCCCCCCCCCACCCCCGTTAGCCGCAGACTAAAGTTATGATACTATATAATATGGGACCAAAATAACAAATGGAATGCTAAAGTTCCTATAAATTTATTATCAAATTGCCTTAAAATGTAGGAGAAAGCATCTATATTTCCAAGTTTTCCTGGGAAATGCCCGCCTTCACTCAACTCCCTCCCAAGATCAACCCTCCCTCTATTCCTGAAAGCTAGATCCGCCCCTCCTTGTAAGCCACCTCTGTCTATGAATAAGTTATTAATATCAAGAATGGGACAAATTTTTCATCAGGTATGAATATGCGAAATGTCTTCCATAAGCCTGCATTGCCCCCGGCTGCATTTTAGAGTATTTTATGGATAAAGCAATACCCATGCATGCGAGAGTGGTCGGAAGTGATACGGGAGATATGCCGCTCTTTAGTGATGCGCGACCATCCTTACTACCTTGCCCGGAGCAAGGAAGAGCTTGCCACGGTGTAGGAACACGCTGGAGAGTGGTCAAGTTAGGCTTAGGTATCAGCTCACGGAAGTCAGGAAAACAGGAAAAGGAAAGGCATTATGAGGGGACGTCTAAACCACGAAGTAAACCGTTTTTCTTTCATCTTGGCGACAACGCGGCTATCTATAAACCGTGGCTTTCGTCCCGTCACCATTACACTGTAGATATTTGCTGCACGCAATTTATTTTTTTTATTAAAAAGGAACATCACTAAATCAGTCCTACCAACTAAAAGTGTCATTGATCATGTGTAGTTTCGTAAGTACATTTTAAGAAACGAAAATAACCAAAAGTGACGTGTAAAAAACTAACCAGTACCATATCCCGTATAATTTCCAAGATGGCTGTGTTATCCTTCAATTCAAATCGTTCACTTCTTGTCTGCTTTTCTTGAAACAAAATGAGGAAGAAATTAAGTTTGATGACAAAACCTAAGTTAAACCACGTGACCGATTCCTTTTCCGACGACTGAAGCATTGCAATTTCTGAACATGAGGGGTCATTTTGTTGTCAAACAATTCATGGCCTTCTTCACTTTAACGGATGTAATCCAAGATTAGTTGCCCTCATTTAAGGCAAGCGCACAACCGCGACTAAGTCGTTTTTCTCAGCCGTTGGCACTGCGCGAAGCCCGCTAGCCAGCTGAGCCCCTGGCTGTATCGTGGCAAAATGTTCTCTTATAATTTTGTGGATGGAAATTCTTCGCTCGCCATGACCTCAGCATCACTTTCACGCATGAATATGCCTGACATGATGAGCGGCCCGTGCCCAATAAAGGCACTCGCTGCCTCATTGATTCAGTACAGTTGACACTCACATAGTTATATCTCAAATACTGCTGCTTCGACGACGAGATATCAAAATGTGAGTTTAAAGAAGAAATTCATCGTGCAGTGTCCTTTGACACTAATAAATTAAT